GACTAACGTGGAATCGGCGGAGCAATACATGTATGCTCGTGTGGAGGTTAATACAGAAACCACCCATCTGATTGTTGTATATGATGCACCATTTGTGAGTAGAAAGAGCGGATTATAGAAACAGTTGAAGCACATCATTCAGAGCGTAGATGGACCATTGATAATAGGCGTAGACTTCAACACCATCGTTAGGTTGAATGAGAGGACGGGAGGCAATGGTCGTTTATCTCCAGACTCCTTGGCTTTTGACTATTGGATGAATGATCTTTCTCTCATTGATATGGGTTTCGTAAGAAACAAATTTACTTGGAGACGAGAGAAGAAGGAAAGCACCTACATTGCAAAGAGATTAGACAGGGTGCTTTATAGTGCACAGTCTATATTGAAGTGGCAAGAAGTAAAGGTTACACATTTGTCGTTTCTCTCCTCTGATCATGCTCCGCTATACATACAGTTGGAGCCTGTAGTACAGAGTGATCCTCGTCGTAGACCTTTCCGCTTCGAAGCGGCGTGGTTGTCCCATGACGTCTTTAAAGAGATGTTGTTGACTTCGTGGAATGAGGGTATCGCAACTCCGGAGGCCCTGCAGAGGCTTCAGGTTAAGTTTGTGTAAATGGAATAAGGAAGTGTTTGGTGAGGTGAATCAACGAAAGGAGAAGCCGGTTCAAGAGATTAAGGAAATACAGGACATGTTGGATCAGAACCAATCGGATGCGTTGCTACTTAAGGAGGATAACCTAATTCGAGATTTGGATACGGTCCTTGAGCAAGAAGAGGTCATTTGGTTCCAGAAATCCAGAGAGAAGTGGATTGCGTTAGGAGATAGGAACACTAAATATTATCATACCTCAACTATCGTGCGACGCAGAAGAAACCAGATTGAGGCACTGAAAGGTGATGATGATAGATGGATTTCTCAAAAGGCGGAGCTAGAGAATCATGATGTTGCATACTACACACGTTTATACTCTATGGAGGATGTAGAGCCAGTAGTTCATATACTACAGCAAGAAGGCTTTCCAAAGTTCACATGGGACGAGTTAAGGGAGTTAAACAAACCTTTCTCGGGCTTAGAAGTGGAGGAATCAGTTCGTAGTATGGGGAAGTATAAAGCCCCCAATCCTGATGGGTTTCAGCTGGTTTTCTATCAGGGATGTTAGGATGTAGTGGGGCCTTTGGTTACCTGCTTTGTTCTTGATTTCTTCCGGCCAGGGAGGCTGCAACATGGGACGAATGATGTTATCCTTGTGCTTATAGGAAAGGTACTTAAGCCGGAGAAGATAATGCAATTCAGACCAATCAGTTTATGTAATATCCTATTCAAAATCATTACAAAGACCATGGCGATGAGGTTAAAAATGGTCATGCCAAAACATACTGGGCCAGCACAAGCAAGTTTTATACTAGGGAGATTGAGCACAGATAACATCGTGGTTGTGCAGGAGGCAGTACACTCGATGCAAAGGAAGACAGGACGTAAGGGTTAGATGCTACTTAAATTAGACCTTGAGAAGGCATATGACCATATCCGGTGGGACTTCTTGGTAGACACTCTCAAAGCAGTAGGACTCCCAGAGACTTGGATTAGATGAATTATGTAGTGTGTTTCGGGGCCCTCAATGTGTCTGTTGTGGAATGGAGAGAAGACGGAGGCATTTAATCCTGAGAGGGGGCTTAGACAAGGAGACTCTTTGTCCCCATACCTATTTGTACTCTGCATTGAACGCTTGTGCCATCTAATAGATAATTCCATTGTGAGGAGGGAATGGAAACCGATTGCTATATCTCAAGGTGGCCCTAAGTTATCTCATATTTGCTTTGCTGATGACCTAATCCTATTTGCGGGCAGGTATTAGAGCGTTTTCTGTGTGGCTTAAGGGCAAAAGGTGAGCTTGGAAAAGTTTAAAATTTACTTCTCTGGAAACGTCAGTAGAGAGATGGGAAAGCTTATAAGTGATGAGAGCGGGATTAGAGTTACACATGATCTCGGGAAGTACTTGGGTATGCCAGTATTACAGAAACGAATGAACAAAGACACCTTTGGTGAGGTTCTGGAGCTAATCTCTTCACGACTATCAGGTTGGAAAAGTTGTATGTTGAGCTTTGCGGGCCGAGCTACACTTACTAAGGCTGTCTTGTCATCTATCCCAGTCCACTCAATGAGCACAATAGCTCTTCCGAAGTCAACTCTATGGAGACTTGACAGAATCTCGAGGTCATTTATTTGGGGTGATACACAAGATCAAAGGAAGCAGCATCTAGTAGCATGAAAGCGTGTCTGTTTACCGAAAGCAGAGGGGGGATTGGGTGGAGACTGATTCATGATAAAGAAAGCCTGTGTGCACGAGTTTTGAGAGCCAAGTACAACATTTCAGATATGCGAGAGGAGTATTAGATTCGGCTAAGAAGAAATAGCTCCTCCACATGGCGGAGCGTAGTGATGGGGATGAAAGAGATAGTAATTCCGGGGTTGAGCTGGATTCTCGGAGATGGCAGTAGAATCAGGTTCTGGAAGGATAAATGGTTGCTGAAGGTACCACTGCTGGAGTAGGCGATGATAGAGATCCCAGAGGAGCTTTCATACGCCACTGTCTGGGACTTTTGGTGCAATGGTACGGGGTGGGGGCTTGCGATGTTATCCCCGTATGTTACTAAACATATCCAAATGCAGTTGGCAGCGTTGGTGTTAGCTGATGTGACAGGCGCGAGAGATTGAAACTCCTGGGGGCCCTCGGAGGATGGTTTTTTCACGGTGAAATCGGTTTATTCCCTACTCACTACGAAGTCTGTCCCTCAACAGAATATGCACTACTTTTTTTGCTCGAGTATGGAAGGTAGATAAATTAGAAAGAGTTAAATTGTTTCTCTGGCTAACTGTTAACCAAGCTCTTATGACGAATATGGAAAGGAGTATACGACAGCTTAGCGATACAAAGGTTTATCAAATATGTAGAAGAGACGCAGAATCTATCATCCATGTGTTGAGGGATTTTCCCGCGATGTCGCGTATTTAGGATAGGATTGTTCCTGCAGGACAAAGGAGGCGCTTCTTTGAACAAACCCTCTTTAGAATGGTTGTATGAAAATCTGGAGAATAGTTCGTATGCGTATGGAAGTAAGTGGTCAACAATATTCTCTATAGCGGCTTGGTGGGGATGGAAATGGCGCTGTGTGAATATTTTTGGCACTAATGAGAGATGCAGAGACCGAGTTTGCTTTCTTAAAGATCTTGCTAAGGAAGTAACATTAGCTCACTCACGAGTAAGAGGGAATGTGTCTGCTCCGGTTCGAGTTGAAAGGATGATATCTTGGCAACCACCAAAAGATGGGTGGATGCGGGTGAATACGAATGGCGCGTCATGAGGAAAGCCAGGGCTAGCTACTGCGGGAGGAGCTCTAAGGGATGCGGATGGGACTTGGCATGGGGGATTCGCGCTTAACATTGGAGTGTGTTCAGCACTTTTAGCTGAGCTTTGGGGTGTGTATTATGGTCTGTTCTTGGCGTGAGACAGACGAGTTAACTGGCTAGAGTTGGAGGTGAATTCTGAAGTTGTCGTGAGCTTCTTATGATCAGGGGTTAGTGAGGTACATCCCCTATCTTTCTTGATGTGTTTATGCCATGGCTTTCTTTCTAGGGATTGGTTAGTCCAAATTTCACATGTGTATAGAGAGGCTAATTGTCTTGCTGATAGTTTAGCTAACTATGTTTTTGATTTACCATTATACTTTCATGGTTTTGATTCTCCGCCTGAGAAAGTTGTTCCAGTTGTTACAGACAATGTTATTGGCTTCTCGCAAGCTCGTTATGATCATGTTTAAGTTGTTGAATGATGAATAAAATGGGGGAGACATTTATAGTTACAAAGTTTTTTTTTTTGTTACAAATTACTGCATAGACAACTATATACACTATATACAATCAAACTCTCCGTCTGCCGGGTCATTCCCCTGTAGCTAGCTTTGATTAAAGAGTCTCTTTCTTTAGAAAAAATGTGAAATGCAATTTATTTCAAGATAAGCTTTATACTACTTTATTAACTCATACATTAATTTCTGAGTTTTCTTAATATGCAAAAAGTAATTTTAAAGAAAAAATATTTTTAAAACATGAAACATCTTTCAATTTTTTTAAAAAACTATATTCCTGTATAATAAAATGCAAAGTATATTCTTGTAAAATAAAATGCAAACAGAAAGAATCCATTTTTTTAACGTTTGGGTTTTGAATTAAAAAAAAAAAAAATTGAGGTATGAAAAGTTGTGGATCATTAGAAAAAGTAATCAATGTAAAACAAACAATCAATATCATATCTATTTTTAAATTATTTGTTGACAATGAGTTTTGGTCATATCTATTCGGATGTGATTAAATTTTCTTAATTCTTTGCATTTGAAAGTCCAAAAAGGTCAGCTTCAGTTTTGCACAACGAATTTCAGATTTTGAGAAACACGTTATTGATTATGTTATACAAAGAGTTTTATTTCCTCTAGCAAGTAGCAACTATATATATATATATATACCTTTTTAGAAAAAACTATATATACCTTGCTTGGAGAGAACTTTATTAGTTATTACCTTAACGAACCAAAAAAGGCTTAGAATTTCGGACATTTTCAGATCAAATAAAACTTTTGAGTACTCTTTCTTTCCGATTACATCAAAATTCAAAATATCATGATATGGAATTCTGAAATATAAACAACGAATTCACACTTAAATAAACAATAAAAAAAACACATGCATCAGGAGAAAAAAAATACATTAAGAGTAATTCAGTAAATTAATAAGTAATAACAGAAAATTAAGAACGTTTGACAAAAAGAAAACAATACATAACGGTACACACGGGATGTTTTTACAAAAGTCGTCGTAATATAGTTTCAAAGTCAAAGAGTTTGAACTATTCAAAATACACCTACTCGCCGGTCGTCTTCTCTCACCTTCATCTCTCTGTTTATATTAAGACATAAAATACGAATTTCATGATTGCAAATAAACCAAAAAAAAGAAGAGGACAAGCAGAAGGATATTTAATATAAAGACACAGATAAATCTGCGTTTCTTAATTTTTTAATTCTGTAGAACCTCTACTATATTTAGATAGTAACACAGGAGTGAAAATATTTCAAAAAGGAAAGCTTTTTTTTTTCTTTTCTTGGGATTGTTCTGTGAGCTCTAATGGCGGATCAAGTGAAAGAAAAAACGTTAGAGGAGACTTCCACGTGGGCCGTCGCGGTTGTTTGCTTTTTCTTGCTTCTAATTTCGATTGTCATTGAGAAACTGATACACAAAATTGGAACCGTAAGTCCCTTTTCACGTTCTTCTCCTCTTTCTTGATCCTCTGTTTCTTCTTTTTGCTCTGTTTCAATTTCTGTGTCTGTTTAGTTCTTCTTCATCATCGCAAAAAGTCAAACTTTGATTTCACAGACTTAAAAGTAGTTTGTGTTTTTAAACTCCCAAAACCCAAAAGGGTTTATGTTTTCTTCTGTTTCTGTGTCTGTTTAGTTCTTCTTGCTCTGTTTCTGATAACTGAGCCTCCATGCTCTGCTTTTTTTTGTCTTTTTCTTCTGACAGTGGTTTAAAAAGAAGAACAAAAAGGCTCTATATGAAGCTCTTGAAAAGGTGAAAGCAGGTAAAGAAACTGTTTTTAATCCGAAATATAATTATTTCCCTCCAAAAGTTTCATTTATTAAAGAGATTAATTTTCTATTACTTAAAAACATTAAATTAAATGTAATTTGCAGAGCTTATGCTGATGGGATTCATATCACTACTACTAACAATTGGACAAAACTATATATCACAAATTTGCATCTCCGAGAGCATCGCATCATCAATGCACCCTTGCAGTAAAGCAGAAGAAGCGAAAAGGTACCCCAAGAAAGAAGTCAAAAAGGAAGAAGGTGAAGAAGAAAACTCAGGTCGAAAGCTTCTCGAGTTAGTCGAATCTTTCATCCCTCGAAGGAGTTTGGCTACCAAAGGTTATGACAAGTGTGCAGAGAAGGTACAAATCAAATTCATTCTATATAAGATCCATTAAAGACATGACTGTTTTTTCCAAATTATTGATAGAAGATTCTTCTTCTAATGTTTGTTTTCCAGGGGAAAGTAGCTTTTGTATCGGCTTATGGGATGCATCAGCTGCATATATTCATCTTCGTTCTAGCTGTTTGTCATGTGATCTATTGCATTCTTATTTATGCTTTGGGCAAGACCAAGGTAAATTCTTTATTAACCATTCTTGAAATCTTGATTCTTTTTGGCTAAAGACTATCTTTTTCTTATGTAAAGATTGTATATTTCGTGTTCTTTCTGTTACCTTAGATGAGAAGGTGGAAGGCTTGGGAAGAAGAGACGAAGACAATAGAATATCAGTATTCGCACGGTAAATAAATATATAATTCATAAACTTGAAAATGAGTGTGAAGTTTTAACAATGCTGTTTTTTTCAAATAATGCAGATCCTGAGAGATTTAGATTTGCGAGGGACACATCTTTTGGACGTAGACATTTGAATGTCTGGAGTAAATCTAGTATTACTCTGTGGATTGTATGTTTCTTCAGACAGTTCTTTGGATCTGTAACTAAAGTTGATTACTTAACACTGAGACATGGTTTCATTATGGTAAAGTTTTAAATCTTTCTTTCATCTTTAATTGTTCTATTACTGAAAGACATTGCATTAAATGGTTTATCTTCTCAGGCTCATTTGGCTCCTGGGAGTGACTCAAGATTCGATTTCCGAAAGTACATTCAGAGATCATTAGAGGAAGACTTCAAAACCATCGTCGAGATCAGGTTTTGAGACTAATCTTTTTTTTTTTTTTTTTGTAACAAACTCATTCAGTTCACTAATGTCATCTAAGACTAATGTTTGAATCTCTTATATCTTCAGTCCTGTGATCTGGTTTATTGCCGTACTATTCCTCCTCTCAAATACAAACGGTACATTTTTAAAACGTCATTGCACCAATATCTCTTAAAAAAAAGACTTAGCAACATCTAAAAACTGATACAAACTTTCTTGTGTTTTGAACAGGATTGAATTCTTTCCTCTGGTTACCATTTATTCCCTTCATCGTAAGCAACAAAAGAAACATTCTTTATTTGTTTTTTTGGTTTCTGTCTCTTTTTAACAAGAAAAAAAAAAAAAAAATGTAGGTGATTCTCATCGTTGGCACGAAACTGCAAGTGATCATAACAAAACTGGGACTTCTGATCCAAGAGAAAGGCGGTGTAGTGAAAGGCACACCGCTTGTTCAGCCCGGTGATCATCTCTTCTGGTTCGGTCGACCACGTTTCATCCTCTTCCTCATTCACTTAGTCCTCTTCACGGTATACAACTCTCACACTCTTCTCCTTCCTTCTTCTTCTGGTTACAACAAAACAAATGAAAAACCAAACCTTTGTTGCCATTTGCAGAACGCGTTTCAACTCGCTTTCTTTGCCTGGAGTACGGTAAGCAAACAATGCCGCATCTTCCACTAAACGTGCTTATGAATCAATCATCATCAGTCACTGAAATTACATTTGCTTTTGTCTGCAGTATGAGTTCACTCTCACTAACTGTTTCCACCAAAGCACCGTAGATGTGGTCATCAGAATTTCAGTAGGGTAAGTATATAAAGCTTTAAAGCTTAATCACTTATAGAAACAGAGGAACCATCAATTTAAAACTCACAAAGTCACAACCTTTTCTTTGTTCTTGCAGAGTTGTTGTACAGTTTCTTTGCAGCTACGTTATTCTTCCTCTCTACGCTCTAGTTACTCAGGTAAAACACGATCAAGAAGCTAAAAAGTTTTCAACTTTGATTCCAAGATTTAGATTTTGATGGTGTTCTTGGTGTTTTTTTTAGATGGGTACGAAGATGAAACCTACAGTGTTCAACGAGAGAGTAGCAACGGCGTTAAAGAGTTGGCACCACACAGCTAAGAAGCAGATCAAACATGGACGACACTCAGAGTCAACGACGCCTTTCTCTAGCCGTCCAACAACACCGACACACGGTTCTTCTCCGATCCATCTCCTCCGTAACGTCCACAAACGAAGCAAAAGCGCCGACGAGAGCTTCGCGAACTCTCTGTCTCCGAGGAACTCTGCTTTCGATTCGTGGGAGCCTGAGTCCCAACACGAGGCTTCTTCTTCCGCAAACCATCATCATCATTCTAGGTTAAGAGAAGAAGACTCAGTGAAGAAGCCTTCTTCTTCTTCATCTGTGGAGCTTCCTACTGGACTTGGACAAACACGAACACAGCATGAGATTAATATAAACTTGAGGGATTTCTCGTTTAAGCGATGATTTTGTTTATTTTTAAATTGATTATTAGTGATTTGTTAATATGTTGTATCTAAACAGTTCTTGTACACATTTCAAATTATATAAAGTTTAATAAACATATACATTGGTTTGAGGATCTGTGAAAGATGTGCTAGAAGTTGTTCTTTATGACCATTGACATTGTCATTTTCTTACAAAAGACGAATATGTTTACAAAAGGATGTTACAATACGAAGAAGCAATATGAGTAACGTTAAGGGTTTCGTTTCCTATTAGTTTTAGATTCATGGTGAATCTTTTCCTGAGCTGTTGAAACTGACACTATTCATCACGTTTGTAGCCAAAATATTCATCACGTTATATCTTTTGTAATAAATAGAGTTTTACATAGCTATTAGCAATCAGATCCGCTGTAGCACAAAGGTTATAAGCTGAATTGTTGAGTGCACTGGATCGGTGTGTGCTCAAACGACTCCGGGTTCGAATCCCGGCAGCGAAATACTTTTTAATTTTGTACTGTATACAACCAAATGTCTTGGAGCCTTTCCTATCTCAGTTTTGAATTTTCTCTGCATCTTTATGGGATCCTCTGTCATCTTTTTTGCTTCTAACTGAAACTTCTCTGCGTTAGATGTTCATCCTCCCTTGGCATGCCTCAGGCAGATGCAGTGACTTATACAAAGACCCTTCTTAGTAACTGTAGCCTAACATCTTTCGACAGATCATTTGTACACTTTTATTGGCTTGAATTCAATTTAAATTCTGTTGGTGTCTAATTGTACATTTCAAGATCATTTGGTGGATAATGTTTTTAGTGTGATCAGGCTTGTGGTTAACAACAAATAGCTTCAAGATCATTAGTGTGAGAGAGTAAAGTGAACTTCTTGTAGTTTTGAACTATATGTATGTTAGTTAAGTTGATTATCAGTATTGAGTGGAAGTAATACATAACATACCAATCAAAGTCATTTGGTTTCAATCAGCAAATAGATAAATCACTGGAATCCATAGCAAACACAAAAGCAGGACACACACACACACAATTGTCTCAACTTAAACACACAGAAGATTACTAGTACTAAATCAAAACTTCTCCCAAAATAGAAAAAGATAGATAATCTGTAAAGAGAGAGTGTATGTTATTGATTACTCGCTCTTGGTGGTGGTGTTGTCGTTGGGAGGAGGAGGAGGTGCAATGACAATCTTGAGAACACCAAACTGCACATCGTAACCTAAGGTCCGGGTCAAAAGTGAAGGCACGGGGCAAGAAGAGGAGCCACCACGAAGGTTGAGACGTCCATGGAAAACACGCGCACTCTCGTCGTGCTCGTAAACGTTCTTGACCTCAGCATGGAATCTAACTTCATCCTCGTTAGCGAGCACCTCAACATCATCTGGACAAACACCTGGCACATCCACTGCCAAGTAAAGGCCTCCATTGCGTACCGGTGCTCCAACGAACGGTGACTTACGACCTTTCACCACAAACGGATGATCCTCCAGGCATCTTCCAGAATTACCTGTCGGAGCGATTTCAGACCAAAAACAGAGCATTTTACACACAACAGAAACAGAGCATTTACATACAACAAAACAAGAATGGATTCGAACGAACCTGTGAAAGGAGGGAGAGTGAGAGTACACTTGCTCTCATGGTTTTTCACTTTGACCCTTGAGACAATCATCCTCAAGACTCCATCTTTCATCTTAGCATCAACGCCGGTTATCTCGCAGCAGTCACAGCCTAGACCGGCGGATCCGGAGTATTCACGGACGCCGTCCTTCGGGTTGCCGTCGTTGGGAGTTTCGCCGGAGAAAAATATCACCTTTTGCCTCACGGAGTCGACTCTGTGGCGGACTGCGTCGTCGGGAACACCGGGCAAGTCGACGCGGATGTAGAGGCTGTCGTTCTCAAGCACCTTCACTTGGATGAAACCCTTAGGACCAGCTTTCTGGAACTGGTTGTTAGTCGCGTAGAGACCCTCTGTTTCCAATACAATGGTGTAGAGAACAAAAATGCTTAGTTTCACAGAAGAACAAAAATCAAAACAAGAGATTATCAAAGATCAAATAAAAACGACTTTCTTAGAAGAAAGGAGAAAGGAGAAGGGAGATTACCTCTGGTGAAAGGAATTCCCGTCGAGTCAAGGAATTGTAGCTCAGCCATTTTCTTTTCTTTCTCACTGTTTTCTCTCTTCTCTCTCTCTCTCTCGTTCGCGTAAAAATGGAGGTTTTGAGTTTGTTGTTGAATTGATGATAATACAGTGGTACTAAAAGCAAAAGCACGGCGAGGTAACGCCGTCTGTGACGTGGCAGTCTATGACTGGCTTCTTTTCTCAATTCAATAAGCGTGAAGATGAAAGAGAGAAAACCAAAATTTGACTGGTCTTCGCTTGTTCTCATCTTTTTTACCTTTAACCTTCTTTTCACTCTGTTATTTTTTTTTTTTTTGCCTTCCCTATTGAATTGTTACTGTGAAATAGTACGATGACGTCAACAATGTTATGATGAGCCGTCCAAAAGCAAACTCTCCTTCAATATCCTGTCACATGCGACAAAATAGTGAAATGGGCAATCTCGTCTCTCTTTTTAATTCAACTTTTTTTTTGCTGAAGATTTCAAAGCATGGGAGACGCTGACGTCAACAGCGAGCTGTCAATCTTTTTTTACATACGACACTTTTTTTAACGGTTTAAGAGTTAAGACAACGTCTCTTTTTTTAACTTTTTTGCATCAAACTTCTATATTTAATCCAGTTATTTTCCAACTTTATTTTTGCAGAATAATTCAATACGCTGACGTCAATAGCAAGCTGTCAATTTTTTTTTTTTACATACGACAAAAGAAAATTACAATGCAATGCAACGTCTCCTTTTTAATGTTGCCACAAACTTCTCTCTTCTAAAGTTTTTACAATCTTTTTTAGATGTTTATCTTGATAACCTTTGTTTTTTTCATGACTTTGTAAAGGTACTAATAAAAGTATGTTACTTTATTAAAACACCCCTTAAACATCTCGTTATAGCCTCAAAGAAACGTTCTGATGACATTAATCAATCAGATGATACAGAAGAAATCAAAAGCACTTAAACCATAAAACAAGCTAAAAACAAAGTTGACGTCATATATAGAGACCCTTTTATATAAACCCTAGCGAGAGACACCATTACGAGGCCAGAGACAGAGACGTACGGACTCACTCAAACGACGTCATTTTTGGTGACGTTGAAATTATTAATTATACAGCATCTTCTCAGTGACATCAAGCTCGATGCTTTTGCCGGAGACTTTAGGGACGGTGAGCCAGAGAACGCCGTTGAGAAGCTTTGCCTTGGCTCGCTTGACGTCGTAAAACTCGGTGTTGAAAAGGAAAGTGCCTCCGTATTTGCGTCCACCGTGGTCGTACTCGAGCATAGCGGGTTCGTCGGCGAAGAAGCAGCTCCGGCCAAGTAGGGTGGGCAGAAGTGCATCGGCCTAGAACCCAACCCATTTATTCTTGAAATTCTATATATAATAGAGTTCGTTTTAAAACAAATAAGTCCAAATAATTATATTTTTAATTTAAATTAGTATTTTTAATAGAAATTTTATTAAAAAAAAATCCAAAATTTTAAAATTTAGTGTAAATTTTTATATTAGAAAGCTTAAATATTCAAAATTTAGTGAAATTTATATGTTAGGGGGCCCAAAATTTTTTTTTACCTTAAGACTCTCAATATCATTAAGCGGGCTGCGAAGACGTGGACTTTGTCGCGGTCGATCCAGTAGGTGAGGTCTGACACGGGACAACCAGGCATGTCTACTCTGTAAAACAAGCACGTGTTCGTCTCCTTCACCTCGTACACCTCCTCGCTGCCACTTTTCGAAAATCGGTTCTTCGCTGGCATCGCTGCTGCAACACCACATGAGTATTGTTCAACAAACAAAAAAAAACACCACATGAGTAAAAAAAAAAAAAATCAATTTTTGGAAGAGAAAAGGAACAAGGAAGACGTACGGATATTGTTTACGCCGGAGCTGCTGCCTGCTTTACTCATCCTTGAAACGACGCTGTTTTTCTGCTGTTTTGTAGTGGTGTGTAAAAAACGCGAGAGAGTGACACTTACACTTTTAAGCATTACCAAACCATTAATCCTACAAGTTGTTCTTTATGGCCATTGACATTGTCATTTTCTTACAAAAGATGAATATGTTTACAAAAGGATGTTACAATACGAAGAAGCTGATGGTGCCAAGAGAGAAAGCAAGACTGTAGGATACAAAAGAATATAGAGACCAACAACAGATAAAAAACACTCTCGATCATATGATATGATCATCTCAGTGCTTAAGGCTGGTCAAGACATTGTTGTTGACGGGATCCGCCAAATGATCAAGAAGGTTCTGGTAAGGCCCAACACCAGTCACTAGCAAACTGACACTATTCATCACGTTTGTAACCAAAATATTCATCACGTTTGAAGTTTTATAATAAATTAAGTTTTATATAGCTATTTACAATCAGATCCGCTGTAGCCCTAAGGTTATAAGCTAAATTGTTGAGTGCACTAGATCGGTGTGTGCTCAACCGACTCCGGGTTCGAATCCCGGCAGCGGATTTTTTTTTTTAATTTTGTACTGTATACAACCAAATGTCGTTCGTCCCCCTAATTAAGCCAGTTAAAGCAGAGCTAAACCATATAAGTCGTCGGAAGTGAACGAAAAATCCTAAACGGAGATGTCTAACCCAACGGCACTATCATATATAATTTTTTAAATGGAATACTTTTGTTATGATCTCATCAAAGTAAAACCCTATAAATATCGTCCCCAAAGCTAACAAAATCACAACCTTTTCTTTGTTCTCGTACAGACTCTCTGCAGCTACGTTACTCATCTTCCTCTCTACGCTCTAATTACTAAGGTAAAACACGCACAAAACACAATCAATAAACTATAAGGTTTCAATTTTGATTATAAAGTACGGATTTTGATGGGTTTTTGTTGTTTAGATGATGGGTTCGAAGATGAAACCAACATGTGCAACGAGAAAGTAGCAACGGCGTTAAAGAATTGGCACCACACAGCTAAAAAGCAGATCATATTGTGAACGAACCGGCGTGGTGATGGTTAGGTGATGGTATTTCTTAGGGATGGGCACTTTGCTTTTATAAAAATTTAAAGAGAAATTGTAAGGAATGAACTCAATTAATATCGAAATTAATCGACCACTTCTGACAGTTTTCCACCATAAAAAGACGAATGAGTTATTGCATTTTATCTAATTACCTTTGTCACACAATTACTTTCTTCTACTCGTTTTTTGCACACGCTTTCTCTTCACATTTATCTAAAATAAAAATAAAAATAAATCAAGAAGAAAAGAAATGTTAATCGTGATTATTGGTGACGGTAGTGGTGGTGATAGCAGTGATTATTGGTGACGGTAGTGGTGGTGATAGCAGTGTTGATGGTGGTGGTGGCAAGTAGTGGTGATGCCAATGGTGGTTGATGATGTGTTGGTGATGGTCGGTGGTGGTGATGGTGTTATTGGTGGTGGTGGTGATGGAGTCGCCGGTGGTGATGGTGGTGGTGGTATGGTGTTGTCGACAGTGATGATGGTCGGTGGTGGTGATGGTTGTAGTGTTGATGATGGCGGGCCGGTGGTGGTGGAAGTGATGGTGATGCCGGTGGTGGTGATGGTGATGTTGGTGATGGCAATGGTGGTGACAGTGTCGGTGGTGGTGGTGGTGACCGTATAAGTGGTAGTGGTGGTGATGGGGTGAAAGATGATGATATCAACATTAACACGATAGTTAACATATTCACAATGTTAATACGATAAATTTTTGATATGATAACATTGTTAACCTGATAATTTCGCATAACCTATACAATTCACAAAGTTAACTCATATTTTTCATGAAATAATAGCAACGTTTACACGATAATTATCATGTTAACTCGATATTCGTACAATGTGCTAATCGAACAAAGTTAACTCTTATTTTTCATGAAATAATAGCAACATTAACATGATAGTTATCATGTTAACTTGATATTTGTAAAATGTGCTAATCGAGCATCATATTAGTTAGCATGGTTAACACAATTATCACGATATCATATTATTCAGCATGGTAATCGAATTTGTTATCTACCCAAACCATATCAAATAACTATAAGGACAAAATAGTCATAATTTTATGTATAATATATATCGACTTAATTATCAATTATCAACTCCGAATTTTTATTTTTCAATTAACTTGGGTCATTCTCTCAATTTTCCCAAATTTAAATCATATAAAAATCATAAATATTTTGGTTTTGATGTGATTTGGTATTCTTTGGCTTTTTGCTTTTTGGTTTTTCTATTTACAAAAATTAAAATCGAATAAAAACTATAGATAACTTAGTTTGGTTTGGCATGATTCAATTTTAGTTGTTTTGGAATTATACTAGATTAAATGAAAATAATAATAATAGATATGAGTGAAATAAAATTAAAAAATTAAAAAACTAGTATCCAAATCATAATAAATCTAAATTTTTAACAAAAACTAAATTTATAAAATTTAAAAACTAAAAAAATAAAACCAGATTCTTATATCGTGAAGAGCGACTATTATTCTTTTTCTTATGTTGTTTAAATCTCTGATATACAAAATCACGAGTATAATATTTAATTTTAATATAATTTAATTTAAAGTTTTAATTAGTTCGAGTAGTTTTTTCTTGTATTTTTTAGGGATGGTTATTTCGATTTTCAATTTGGTTTTTGTTTGGTTTTTTTGGTCTTATGGTCTATTTCTTTTATAAAAATCTAAACTATATAAAAACTATAGATATTTTGGTTTGGTGTGATTCGTTTTTTTTTTGGTTTTTGGTTTTTTTGGTTTTGTAAAAATTAAAATCATCTAAAAACCATATATAATTTGGTTCAATTTGATATGGTTTGGTTTTAGTTATTTTGGAATTATACTATATTCAAACTATGAATGAAAATAGTAATAATACATATGAATGAAACAAATGAAAAGTTCAAAAACTAGAATCCAAATCATAAAATATAAATATAAATTATTAGTAAAAAACTCAAAAACTAGAAAAACAAAGCCAAATTCTTATCATCGTGAAGAGTCACTATTGTTTTTTTCTTTATGATGTTTTTAAATCTTTGATGTACAAAATTTATAATATATAAATATTGACTATAATTTTTGAATTTGATACAATTTAATTTAAAGATTTAATTAGTTCGAAGATCTATGATTTATATTTAGATACTTTTTGTAAATATTATATATTAAATTTATAAGTTACAATTTAGTAAATTATGAAAATATCAACCCTAATAACAAAATATGAACATAAACTAAATTAAGAAAATAAGAAAATATAAACTATCAATTTAAAATAAAAAAATCATTCGGGTTGACAGTTTTTAATCAAACCAAATATAAATCAAAATATTCATAAAAATGAAAATCAAATAGATTTTTAGGTTTGATTATAACCAAACTATATATGTTAGGCCAAAGCTATCCTAAACACTGACACAACCCGCTAGTTCAGCCAACAACTCCTTAGCTTATTATTTCTGGACAGTTGGCGAGCTTCCTTAACCACGCATGTGCCACCAACCCACCTGCTTCTCTGGCACACCAAACGGATGTGATAGGACAGGGGAAAGTTTGTATAAAAGAAGGACAAAGACGAGAAGAGCAGAGAGGTCGATGAAAAGAGGACCCGGCGTTTCAAGACTTTAGACCTCAGGGCCTCAATCAGAAAGAGGAGGCCAAAAGCCAAAGACCCGAACCCAAAAGAGAGATATGTAGAGATCAAAGGAGAGACATCTTTGAAGCTCGATCTAAAGAGGAAGAGCTTGATCCCGTTTGAGAGAAGTCGAGCACAGCCATACAGCGCAGTCAAAAGGGAATAGTCTTGTTCTCCGGAGATAGTGCCAAATAGGATAAGTCTCTTTTTGACCCGAAATCATGCATTTATAACAGCTATATCTCCTTTATCTTATAGAACCCCTTGAAACACCTTCAAACAGAAAAAGTGTCCCGATCCCCAGACGAGACATCTAACCTTTAACCCGTAGAATCCCCTCCTGAGTACTAGTTTCTGGTAGGATGTTCATTGACTTGGGCATTGGAGAACCTTCAGGAGGGAAACCCATTCGGTCCCCCTGAAGGCCCGACTGACTCTTTTTAGTAGTGCCCGCAGGACTCGAACATGATTCCACCCCGGAACGGTTCGTCGTCTTCCTCCCAAAGGACAAAACTTGGAGACACGACTCTTCCATTCGGACAAATGATACAGTCCCACATAGCATCCTGTCAAATGCTCCCAAACAATATCATTTTTTTTGGTTTAGTATAATTTGGTTTTTAATTTCGGTAATAATTCTTTTTTCTACCCCTAATTCTTTCTCATTGGGATGAAGAATCTGAAAATAACACAATGAGTTTTTCAGTTAAAATTATATTTTCTGTCAAAACTATATTTTTTGTTAAACTTTACTTCCACAAAAACTGTTAATTTATATTACCTTAAGAAAATTATTATGATTATAAATAAAATGAATGAATTGAAAAATATCTCTTTTTGATTATTTGAGATATTTTGCATTCCAATTCTTTTTTTATAAATACATAAACAAACAATATTGTATTTAAATGTTGTATCCAAATGCAATACATCTTGCATCTGAAAGTTGCATCATCAATATCAAAAACAAACAGGACCAATGTTGAATGTTTTAGCATGAGGTCAACCTAAAAAGTAGGTTTTAGTTGAAGGTTTTAATGGCAAACATGGGTGTTACGTTACGCCTAACAAATGACTTCTTGAAACTCTATTTTCAGCTATTATATCAAAGTCTGCTTCACAAGGTGCATGGAGGAATGATCTGATACCACAAGATCTCTCAGTTTTATGTTTCTTTGAGTTGGCACCACACATCTAAGAAGCAGATCATATTCTGAACGAATCAGAATGGCGATGACTAACTGTAGGTGATGGTATTTCTCATTGGTTATGGGATCAACGAATTGAGAAGAACCTGAAAATAACAAAATGATAGAATGTTTCAACACGAGGTCAACCTAAAAAAGATTTTACTTGAAGGTTTTAATTGCAAACATGGGCGTGCGTTGGCTGGTCCACTAGAGAAACTAACACATATGTTACGCCTAACTGTTGACTAGTGCATTTTGGTCTCAAACCAAACTAGAGAAGTTTAACTAATGAGTAATGACAAGTTGGTTCTTGAGTAAAATAGTTGTTGAAACAGTGACGTTGTTGTTAACCGAAGTTAAAATATTCATCACGTTCGAATTAGTATATTAAATAAGGTTTTACATAGCAAATAACAATCAGATCTGCTGTAGCACAGAGGGCTTTTGCATGAATGTTGAGTGACTCGATCCCGGCAGCGGAATATTTTTTAATTTTGTACTGTATACAACCAAATGTCGTTCGACCCTAATTAAGCCAATTAAAGCAGAGCTAAACCATAGAAGTCGTCTGAAGTGAACGAAAAATCTTAAACGGAGATGTCTAACCCTACGGCACTATCATATGTTTTTTTTAATTCGGAACAGTTTTGTTATGATCTAATCAAAGTAAAACCCTAAATATTGTCCCCAGAACTAACAAAGTCACAACCTTTTCTTTGTTTCTCGTACGGACTCTCTGCAGCTACGTTACTCTTCCTCTCTACACTCTATTTACTAAGGTAAAAACACACACAAAACACAATCAAGAAACTAAAAGTTTTCAATTTTGATTCTAAAGTTTGATTTTGATGGGTTTTGGTGTTTTAGATGGGTTCGAAGATGAAACCAACAGTGTTGAACGACGAGAGAGTAGCAACGGAGGAATTATCTGAAACCACAAGATGTCTCAGTTCTATATTTCGTTGTCGTGAATACTTTTAAGCATTACCAAACCATTAATCCTAGAAGTTGTTCTTTATGGCCATTGACATTGTCATTTTCTTACAAAAGACGAATATGTTTACAAAGGGTGTTACAATACGAAGAAGCTCGATGGTACCAAGAGAGAAAGCAAGACTGTAGGATACAAGCGAATATGGAGACCAACAACAGAAAAAAACACATTCGGATCATATAATATGATCATCTCAGTGAAACTTAAGGCTGGTCAAGACATTGTTGTTGACGGGATCCGCCAAATGGTCAAGAAGGTTCTGGTAAGGCCCAACGCCAGTCACTAGCCCCTGAATGAAGTAACCGAGGATGGCGAGCATAGCTAGTCTACCGTTCTTGATCTCCTTGAGTTTCAACTCCTTCATCGACTTTTCATCTTTCCCAAACCCAAGAGGGTTAAAGAAAGGTCCTCCCGGGTAAGCCGGGTCACCCGAACCGGAGAAACCTTTCTCTAGTCCCAAGAAGTACTGTTTCCCCATAGATCCTGGGTTGTACCAGTCCTGCAACCTCCTGTGCTCGGCGAATCCCATCAGAGCCATCTCGAGGACAAAGAGTGTGTAAGGGTCAGCCCAGTAGCTGTATGTGCCAGCTGGTGGAATCACACCGGTTTGGAACCAGGGAAGAGCTGTTTCCGCTGGAATCAGACCGGCCTTTCCAAAGATCTCAGGTGCTATAGCTCCTGCTGCTCCCAACATAGCGAACCGTCCATTAATGACCTCTCCGTAGGCTAACCATCTCGGTTCGATGAACCCTCCTGTGCCCTCTGGGTCTGATAGACCAAGCGGGTCGAATCCATAGTCACCAGGTAAGCTGCAGAATCATACAACATCTCCCCAAATTATGAATCATTTTCTATAAAGTCTACACATTTTGTGAAGATGCAAACCACAATAATCTATAAAGTCTACACATTTTGTGATGATGCAAACCACAATGGTCTATAAAGTCTACCACAAAATTTGGGAAGATGAAAACCACAATTGTCTATAAAGGCTACACATTTTGTGAAGATGCAAACCACAATTGTATACAAATTCTTAACATTTTGTAAAGATGAAAATCACAATGGTGTATAAAGTCTACACATTTTGAAGATAATGAAGACTTAAAGATCAAATCTTTGGAATTACCTGCCATCCAAGTAAGAGAGACTCTGTGAAGATGCAAACCACAATGGTCTGTTTGCTCCTTGCTGAAACCAAAACACACAGAAACAGGATCAGATTAGTGCTTTGAGAAAGAGAGATTTTGTTAAAGGCTAGAGTTTTTTTGATGTACCTTGACAGGTGGAGTTGAGGCAGCCTTAACAACTAAGGAACTCTTCTTCTGTGATACGGACACAGCTGGTTTTGTGCCGAATATCTGTCTAGCGGTCTGAACAGAGGAGGTGAGTGAAGAAGACACAAGTGCTTGCGCTGCCATTTTTTTTTCCTTAACTTCTTCTCTTCTGTCACCAAGAGATGATGATGATGGTTCAGGTTCTGCAAGGCAGTGTGTTGCGTAGAAAGATTAAGGTCAAGTACTTGTGGTTTTGAAACAGCCCAACTGGTTTTGCTCAGATTAGATTAGTATCTGCTTCACCAACTATATCTGTCCACGTGGCAACACGAGTTGGATAAGAGATTTTGTTTCTCTGTTTTCTCCTTATCTGCCACACACGAACAAAAAAATCTTTACATAGAATCCGATTGGATATAAAATTCTCATATGCTTTGTTTGATTGCAAATTCGAATAGATATGTGGTCAAAAAGCCAAATTGGCTTGATTTTTAGCAAACCAAATTTAGCATTTAACATTTTTATTGATTAAAAAATTACATTGGTCTTTTGTTTCAGACTTTCAGCTAAATCGTAAAGGACAGTATAAAATAATATTTTTTAAAAAATGTTAGCAACTTTAGTAGTTCCCGCTGTTACACACCATTGTTCACCATTAAAGTCGGCGACTTTTAGTAGAACCAGTTAAGCCCAGATGGTAGGAGTTGGATTAATCAGTCTCGATCGAGATTTGAGGTCTGGAGATATTTACACGGTATGTATTTTGGAACCTTTCGAGTTTTGCTCTGCAACTGTTCGATGAAATGCCTCAACGAAATGTAATGCTTCAGAAGCTGCTCTGTTTTTACCAGAAGAGAAAAGTAGTTTGAGAGAATAGCATACGTATAAAAGATGGTACAGGTCAACCCAATAAATCTTTCAGTGTATTTTATTAATTGGTCTTTGGTCGATTTATTTTGGTTTTAGGCTTACGCAAGAGATGACGGATCCCAGTTTCATCTTTTAATTGTTTCAGAGTGTAGATGTTTACCTCTCACTGATGCTGGGGCTTGACTAGATAAAAAGGAAACATTTCTTTTTTACCATCTGAAGTCAACTGTGCGTGGTTGATTGGGTAAAATGTTGGTGTTCTTCTTGCTTTCAGACTGTGAAAGGTAAGTGGTACAATTCTCATCTTTTAATTGGTTGAGAGTGTTGAAAACTATTTACTACTTGTTCAGGGCTCACCGAGTTAACAAGGACATGAAAATGACACAATGTTTTAAGTCCTTGGGTCTAACTGGTTAACACGAGTATCAAAATTTGCTTTATATTATAAGAAATGTTTAAGTTGATCGTGAATAAAGTAATGCAGAGTCTTGGAAGATGGTTGTTGTGGTCAAGTCAACATTGTTTCGAGGTGCTTGAATATAATTTTCACCAAGTCCTTGAATATGTTTTCTTGGCTTATACTTTCTCTTGCATACATGTTTCTCTTCTTACACTAATCTGAATGATAGCATTCTTGGTCCCGAGACACAAGAACCGCACATTGGGATGACGAGGCTTTTCTTTGCTTGTTTGCTTTTGTTTACCATGCTCTTAAGTTTTAGCCATGGAGCTATAACGCCAACAACTCCTTTGTCAATAGGCCAAACTCTCAGCTCCTCTAGTGAGATTTATGAGTTGGGGTTCTTCAGTCCTAATAACACCCAGGATCAATATGTTGGAATCTGGTTCAAGGATAGCGTTCCACGGATCGTTGTGTGGGTGGCCAATCGAGAAAAGCCCGTTACAGACTCCACGGCAAATCTAGCTATCAGCAGCAACGGAAGTCTTCTCTTATTTGATGGCAAACATGGCATTGTGTGGTCCAGTGGAGTAACTTCTACCTCTAGTGGGTATAGTGCAGAGCTTTTAGACAGTGGGAATCTTATTGTCATCAATAATGTTTCCACAAGAACTCTATGGCAAAGCTTTGAGCATCTTGGTGATACTATGCTACATACCTCATTCCTGATGTATAACCTCGCCACCGGTGAGGAGCGGGTGTTGACTTCTTGGAAAAGTAATACTGATCCATCACCAGGTGACTTTACGGTTCAGATTACATCGCAAGTGCCATCACAGGTGTGTACTATGAGAGGCTCGGCACTTTATTGGAGAAGCGGTCCATGGGCTAAAACAAAGTTCACTGGCCTACCTCTAATGGATGAATCATACACAAGTCCATTCAGCTTACACCAGGATGTAAACGGGTCAGGAACCTTGTCGTATTTTCAAAGAGACTACCAACTTTCACGTATAATTTTGACATCAGAGGGATCAACGAAGATGTTTCGTCATAATGGAGTGAACTGGGAGCTTTTCTATATGACTCCATCCCATTCATGCGACTTTTACGGTGTATGTGGACCATTTGGGTTGTGTGTTATGTCAGTTCCTCCGAAGTGTGAATGCTTCAAAGGGTTTGTACCAAAATCCATTGAAGAGTGGAAAAGAGGAAACTGGACTGATGGTTGTGTAAGGCGTACAGAACTATACTGTCAAGGAAATTCTACCAGCAAAGTTGGAAACGTCTTCCATCAAGTTGCCAACATGAAGCCTCCCGATTTTTACGAATTTGTAATCTCAGTGGATGCAGAAGAATGCTACCAAAGTTGCCTCCACAATTGTTCTTGCTTGGCCTTTGCTTATGTTCATGGAATAGGTTGCTTAGTGTGGAACCAGAACCTAATGGACGCAGTGAAATTTTCTATGGGAGGAGAGCTTCTTTTCGTTCGTCTTGCACGCTCGGAGCTAGGTATTTGCAATTTAATCTTCTACTGCTCTTTTCCATAGGACCATGACTTATTGTTTAACTTGTTTTCATACAATTCTTAGATGGTAATAAGCGCAAGAAGACCATTGTTGCTACTTCAGTGAGCCTTACCCTTTTTCTGATTTTGGGTTTCGCTGCATTTGGTTTCTGGAGATGCAGAGTGGAACATAACGGTAAAGCATTGATGACTTTACTTTCTATCGATTTCTCGTTGTTCTTGTAACGATACATTTTCTTGCCAAAAAACAATCGTAGGGTCTGCTAGATTTGTTACAAATTATTGATAACTAAAACAGTTTAAAAAGGAACATTTCCACTACATCAAACCTACAAGTTATGTTCTTTAAACCAGCACATGGTTTTTTTTTTGGTACCTTGTTTCGTTTTGCTCTCCTTGGCTAGATCACTAGATGTTAAGCACTAACACACCAATTCTAACTCAAATTTCAGCTCATATATCAAAGGATGCATGGAGGAATGATCTGAAACAACAAGATATCCCAGGTTTAGATTTTTTTGAGATAAATACGATACAAAATGCCACCAATAACTTCAGTCTATCAAACAAACTTGGAGAAGGTGGATTTGGTTCTGTTTACAAGGTGAGAAACTTTTTTTATCATCTTTGCACTTTTCTTTTCTCTATTTTCTCGAGATGACATTTGCAACTTAATTGCTTTAGGGAAAACTGCAAGATGGGAAAGAAATCGCTGTAAAACGACTTTCTAGCAGCTCTGGACAAGGCAAAGAGGAGTTCATGAATGAAATAGTACTCATCTCAAAACTCCAACACAGAAACTTAGTCCGGATTTTGGGATGCTGCATTGAAGGAGAAGAGAAGCTATTGATTTATGAGTTCATGGTGAACAAAAGCCTTGATACCTTTCTCTTTGGTCGGTCCCTTCTTGCATCCTTCCTTTACTTACTGATTTTTTTTTTTTTTAATTTATGTGGAACTGTTTGTCTGATAGTTTTACACGGTATTATGTTTTAGATTCAACTCTGAAGTTTGAGATTGATTGGCCAAAGAGATTTGATATCATTCAAGGCATTGCACGTGGACTTCTCTATCTCCACCATGACTCACGCCTCAGGGTTATTCATAGAGATCTCAAGGTCAGCAATATTCTTCTTGATGAGAAAATGAACCCAAAAATATCAGATTTTGGATTAGCTCGGATGTACCAGGGAACCCAATATCAGGACAAGACGCGAAGGGTTGTGGGAACTCTGTAAGAATCTATTTTCAAATACAGGTTTAACTAGAATTTAAAGTCAAGATCAGATACTAACTTGGGATAGATTATTTGATGTCTGCACAGAGGATATATGTCTCCTGAGTATGCATGGACAGGTATGTTCTCTGAGAAGTCCGACATCTACAGCTTCGGAGTTCTGCTTTTGGAAATCATCAGCGGAGAGAAGATCTCAAGATTCAGCTATGGCGAAGAAGGAAAAACCCTTCTTGCATATGTAAGTAACACTTTGGTATCTGATTCCCATCGAGTGCAGAGATCCCACTCTCTGTTTTAAAACATTTCTTGCTCTTATATTTGCTTGTTTTGAAAACCGTAACAGGCTTGGGAATCTTGGTGTGAAAATGGAGGAATTGATCTTTTAGACCAAGATCTTGGTGATTCATGTCGCCCATTACAAGTTGGGAGATGTGTTCAGATTGGTCTGCTTTGTGTTCAACACCAACCCGCAGACAGACCCAACACACTCGAGTTGCTGTCTATGCTCACCACTACATCAGATCTTCCTCCACCAAAACAGCCGACATTTGCACTGCACAATAGAGATGACGAAACCCATTTTAGAAATTTGATAACTGTAAATGAGATTACACACTCTGTGATCCTTGGGCGTTAAATAGGATCCTTGATTGAAATTGTAGAATTTCATTTGTAAACCTGTAAGTTAAAGTGGTTAACTGTTCAACGTTAATAACAGTTAAAGTGCCATTCTTCGTTTCTTTAATACATTTTTTAACCATGACTCACGCCTCAGGATATATATCTCCTGAGTTATGCATGGACAGGGAGATTTTAGGTCCGGAGATATTTACTCGGTATGTATTTTGGAACCTTTCGAGTTTTGCTCTGCAACTGTTCAATGAAATGCTTCAGAAGCTGCTCTGTTTTTACCAGAAGAGAAAAGTAGTTTGAAAGAATAGCATATGTATAAACGATTGTATAGGTCAACCCAATAAACCTTTCAGTGTATTTTATTAATTGGTCTTTCTTTGTTTAGGCTTACGCAAGAGATGACGGATCCCAGTTTCATCTTTTAATTGATTCAGAGTGTATATGTCTACCTCTCACTTATGCTGGGGCTTGACGAGATAAAAAGGAAACATTTTAAGTCAACTGTGCGTGGTTCTTGGTTCAGACTGTGAAAGGTAAGAGTTCCGGTTCTCATCTTTTGATTGGTTCAGCGAGTTAACAAAAGACATGAAAATGACACAATGTTTCAATATGAGGTGTCAATCTTTGCATGGTTGATTGGGTAAAAGACTTGAATTCTAAGATTTAATAATTTTTGTCCAGTTGTGTTTATAATACTTGTGTTAACAGTTGGACCAAAACTATTAAATCTTAGAATTCAAAGTTGCTTGTGAATAAAGTAACGCAGAATCTTGGAAGATCAGCTCCGTGGTCAACATTGTTTAGAGAATAACTGTCTTAAGTATTTGAGTGTGTTTTTCTTGGCGTACTTTCTCTTTGCATACATGCTCGTTTCTTACACTAATCTGAAGGAGATCGTTCTTGGAGATACAAGAACACAGATGGGGATGAAGAGGTATGCTTGTTTGCTCTTGTTTACCATGCTCTTGCGTATTAGCCACGCAGCTATAACTACAACAAGTCCTTTGTCAATAGGAAAAACTCTCAGCTCCTCTAATGAGATTTACGAGTTAGGGTTCTTCAGTCCTAATAATTCCCAGAATCAGTATGTTGGAATCTGGTTCAAGGGTATCAATCCTCGGGTGGTTGTGTGGGTGGCCAATAGAGAAAACCCTGTTACAGACTCCATGGCAAATCTAACTATCAGCAGCAATGGAAGTCTTCTCTTATTGGATGGAAAATCTGGTCTTGTGTGGTCCAGTGGAGACACTTCTGCATCTAACGGGTCTCGTGCAGAGCTTTCAGACACCGGAAATTTTATTGTCACCGACATTTTTTTGGGAAAAACTCTATGGCAAAGCTTTGAGCACCTCGCTGACACAATGCTCCCTTTCTCAAGCCTGATGCATAATCTCACCACCGGTGAGAAGCGTGTGTTGGTTTCTTGGAAAAGTTACACTGATCCATCACCTGGTGACTTTGTAGTTCAGATTACACCGCAACTGCCATCACAGGTGTTTACTATGAGAGGCTCGGAGCCTTATGGGAGAAGCGGTCCATGGGCTAAAACAAGGTTCACCGGGATACCGCAGATGGATGCAACATATACAAGTCCTTTCAGCGTTCAGCAAGATGCAAACGGGTCAGCATCATTCACTTATTTACACAGAAACTTTAAACTTCCACGTATAATGATATCACCAGAGGGAACACTGAAGATCTTTCAGCACAGTGGGACCGGCTGGAAATTAGACTATGAGGCTCCATTAGCCAATTCATGCGATGTTTACGGTGTATGTGGACCTTTTGGGTTGTGTGTTGTGTCAGCATCTCCAAAGTGTAAATGCTTCAAAGGGTTCGTACCTAAATCCATTAAGGAATGGAAAAGAGGTAACTGGAGTGATGGTTGTGTGAGACGTACCGAACTGCATTGTCAAGGAAACTCTACTGGCAAAGATGTAAACATCTTCCATCCTTTTGCCAACATAAAGCCTCCAGACTTCTACGAATTCGCAAGATCTGTGAATGCTGAAGAATGCTACCAACTGTGCCTCCACAACTGTTCTTGCTTGGCCTTTGCTTTTATTAATGGAATAGGGTGCTTGGTTTGGAACCAGGAGCTAATAGACGTAGTGCAATTCTCTGCGGGAGGAGAGCTTCTCTCCATTCGTCTTGCACGCTCTGAACTTGGTATGAGTTAAAAAATAACATCGATACTGTTAATTTTTGGTAGTAGCGTGGCTTATCGTTTAGTTTGTTTTGTCTTTTATATGTCAGGTGGAAATGAGCGCAACAAGACCATTGCTGCCACTATTGTGAGTCTTGTTCTTTTTGTGATTTTGGGTTCTGCTGCAGTTGCTTTCTGGAGATACAGACTGAAACATGACGGTACACACTGATGATCTTACCATCTCTCTGTCGATTTTGTTGTTTTTATTTTAATTGCTTGCTAATTGTAACTTATTAATGACCTTATTATCTATTCTTGAAACTCTGGTTTCAGCTAATATATCCAAAGGTGCCTCACAAGATGCATGGAGGAATGGTCTGAAACCACAAGATGTTTCAGGTTTAGATTTCTTTGAGATGAAAACTATTGAAATTGCCACCGATAGTTTCAGTCTGTCAAATAAACTCGGACAAGGTGGATTTGGTTCAGTTTACAAGGTCGGAGAATTTTGTTCTCTTTTCACTTATCTATTCTCTGTTTCTGCTCTCAGAGATTGACCTTCACCAATCGCTTTCAGGGAAAGCTGCAAGATGGGAAAGAAATTGCGGTAAAACGTCTTTCTAGCAGCTCGGGGCAGGGAATAGAGGAGTTCATGAATGAAATAGTACTCATCTCAAAACTCCAACACAAAAACTTAGTCCGGCTTTTGGGATGTTGCATTGAAGGAGAAGAGAAGCTATTGATTTATGAGTTTATGGTGAACAAAAGCCTCGATACCTTTCTCTTTGGTCGGTCCCTTCTTTCACCCTTCCTTTACTTACATCAGCTTTTTTCAGATAGTTTTAACACGGCCTTATGTCTTAGATTCAGGAAAAAGGCTCGAGATTGATTGGCCAAAGAGATTTGATATCATTCAAGGCATTGCACGTGGACTTCTCTATCTCCACCATGACTCACGCTTAAGGGTTATTCATAGAGATCTCAAGGTCAGCAATATTCTTCTTGATGAGAAAATGAACCCAAAAATATCAGATTTTGGATTAGCTCGGATGTATCAGGGAACCCAATATCAGGACAAGACTCGAAGGGTTGTAGGAACTCTGTAAGAATCTATTTTCATATACAGGTTTAACTAGAATTTAGAGTCAAGATCAGATACTAACTTGGATAGATAATTTGTTGTCTGCACAGCGGATATATGTCTCCTGAGTATGCATGGACAGGAATGTTCTCTGAAAAGTCCGACATCTACAGTTTCGGAGTTCTGCTTTTGGAAATCATCAGTGGAGAAAAAATCTCAAGATTCAGCTATGGCGAAGAAGGAAAAACCCTTCTTGCATATGTAAGTAACACTTTCTTATCTGATTCCCATCAAGTGCAGAGATCCCACTGTTTGTTGTAAAACATTTCTTGCTCTTATGTTTGCTTGTTTTGAAAACCGTAACAGGCGTGGGAATCTTGGTCTGAAAATGGAGGAATTGATCTTTTAGACCAAGATCTTGCTGATTCATGTCGCCCATTACAAGTTGGGAGATGTGTTCAGATCGGTTTGCTTTGTGTTCAACACCAACCCGCAGACAGACCCAACACACTCGAGTTGCTGTCTATGCTCACCACAACATCAGATCTTCCACCACCAAAACAGCCCATATTTGCATTGCACACTAGAGATGACGAAAGCCATTTTAGAGATTTGATAACTGTAAATGAGATTACACATTCTGTGATCCTTGGCCGTTAAAAAAAGGGATCCTTGATTGAAATTGTAGATTTTCATTAACTGCTCTTCATTTCCATTATACATTTTGGGACAGAGGTCCTTAAATTAGTGTTTCAGCGTTCAGCAAGATGCAAACGGATCAGGAATCAGGATCCTTCACTTATATACATAGAAACTTCGAGACCACTGTCTCTAAAGATTTTGTTGTGTCTTTCTCAAACTTAAAGTTAAAAGTTTGTATTTACAAACTTTACAAGATAACCAAGTGAATAATATAACTAACAAAGATTAGAAAGACATCATTAAATTTTAAATTCTTGATGAGGAGATGAAACCCGAAAATATCAGATTTTGGATTGAAAGTGAACTTTTCTATCTCTATCCCTAGTTGAATCACTCTTGACCAAGAATCTTGTAATCACCAAGCTCTACACACAGGTTTTTACCAAGATTGATGAACTAGTACATCTTGCGTGAGAACCAGCTCACAAAATTCACTATTTGCTCAAACGAGGTTTACAAGCTTTGATCTAATGAAGGTTTCTCTCCTTGTGGTACAATTCGAAGCAAGAAGAGAGAAGATCAGAACAATACTCAGATTGTCATTCTTCTCTTCTCATACTCTGTTTTATAACTACTGAATTGTTTAACAGATTCTGTAACGGTCATATAACCAAGTGAGCCCAACTGCTGAAACTGAGTTGTACGGATTTTCTGAATAGGCCCAAAATGAATTGGCCCATGTTTTGAGTTGACTGCAGTCTAATGTGTCGTCTTCCTCGCGTCTCCTAATTTTTGCCATATGGTTTTCACTAATTTATTTATTTAAAACTATAGACTTCTAGGTTACTAATTTTTGGCATTTGTTAATTTTATAATATTTCTTTAGAATTATAGACTTCTTAACTATTTAAAAAAAGAAAAAGAAAAAAAATTCCCTTATTTGAAAAAAAAATACAACTTGAAGCTTTTAAATAACTAAAAAATGTCTAATTAATAGTTTAAAAATGTATAAAATTTAAAATTGAGAAAATTAGAAATGTTTAGAAATGGAGGGGATTAGAAATGTTTGAAATTTTAAAATATTTTAATTGGCAAAATATGGTTTATATAATAAAAGTGAGAGTGTTAGGAAATCCGTATAGAAATATTTTTGTTAAAGGAAATCCTAAACGACATTATGCGATTATTAGCTTCCAAAAAAAAAGTAAGTGTTAGGAAATTCATATAAAAAAAATTTTGTTAAAAAAAATCCCAAGAGATATTTTGTGACTATTGGTTGCCGAAAAGAGATGATTTTGAAAACAGTCGGATTCTGAAACAGAGGGGCGAATGATGCGTTGTCGGAAAGTTCCAAGCAGCTGTAAATGACGATTAGTTGACGAATGAGGTTAGTGTGCAGGGATTTTCGATTCTATGTTAACCGAAATTCGTTGAATTTTATGTTAGAAACTATGTTAAAAATAACTAGCAAAGTGACGTGTAATCTTCCGAAAACAGATAGATACAACTCAGAATCTTCAAAAAGCTCTGGATTTGAGTAATTATATGTGACTAGATTCTATTGAACCTTCCTCTTGTACTTGCAAAGATCGAACACTTCATGAAATACTACTCTATAGAGTTAAAGCTAGAGAGAGATAATGAGAGATAGAGAAGGAGAGATATAACCCGAAACGAGATTTTATTCAAATGGAAAAGATTTGACAGTTATCATCGGAAATAGCCACCGGAAAGAGATCGGATCCCAAGAGATATTAAGAAAGAGAGAAAGAGAGGGTGGGAAAAGAGAAGGAGAGTAGGGTTAAATAAAGAACATCAGATGATGATGAAAAAGGAGGAGAGAGAGAGAAGACACAAGCAAAAGTAGACAACCGTCTCTCTCTCTCTCTCTCTCTCTCTCTCTCTCTCTCTCTCTCTCTCTCTCTCTCTCTCTCTCTCTCTCTCAACCCCGAGTGAGATACTTATTTTGATGCAAAAGCTTCGGGAGAAATGAGAGGCGGATAAAGGGACTCAAGCAAGATTTTTAGAGAGAAAGAGATGGAAACCTTCATTATTACCCACCAGCTCTTGATGGAGACCGTTCAAAGTTTTAAGAAAAAATCTATTTCTTGACGAACATGAACCCTCTTCTTTTACAAGCACAACATATATATTTTGGTGATAAACCCGTTCCAACTAGTCTAGAGGTATCATCTTGGTCGAGAGTGCGTGTATCATATACTGGTCCAACAAAATATCATCAATTAATTGGTACGCAATTTTGGTAATTCAATTTGAATGCAATTTTGAGTTGTAAAAAAAATTACTGATAACAATGGATGTTGTATTTGCTTCTTTTTTTTCAAATATGAATTTCTTTAAGTTCGAAAACATCGAGTTAATTACCAAACGTCCATTAACCATTACACAAGAGTAAATCATTGAAGTTCGAATGGTAACAGTAGCAGTCGAACCCAAATTATATATAGAGTGGGTAATTATAGTTTTTTAGTGGTGCGGTAACAACCAAAAAAAACACAATTATAAATGATAAGAACTAAACTAGCCTTGGTGATCTTGCTTCACTCAGAAGGTTTTTCAGCGGGACGTGCTGTTCCTTTGCTGAGCTCCAGCTTGTTGTCTTCTCCATAGTGATCTCTTGGTTCTTCGACAGAGCAACAGCAAGTGATGATGATTGAGATGCGTTTTCCGGTTTGTTAATGGTGAACCTTAGATTCAACCTTGGTTAATTCGTATTTTATTGATAACAAGAATCGAAAGATTACAGAACAGACTCGTTAAAAGTACTGAAAAGAGGGTTCCCAAAAATTGGGATCCCGAGCGAGAAGCTCTAACACGGAAGCCGACTTCCAAAAATGAGAAGCTCTTACAAATGCGTGATTAAAGCCTAATTCCGTAAAACCCGGAGTAATGAATGCGTTTTTCATACTGTGTACGGTCCTATTTATAGGGAATTAGGGCGGTGGCTTCGCTGGGTATTTTTGACGAAATTGACCTTATTGGACTTCATTCTTCGGATTTGGACCGAGCTGGGCTTCTCTCTCGAATATGGGCCAAAGATTGCTTCTTCTTCTTGGGCCGAGCTAATCTTGGGCCGAACTGATTTTGAGCTTGAGAATCGACTTTGGCCGAATTGATTAAATGGGCCTTGGTTGGGCCCAGTACCAACAGTTAACTCCATCACTTAGTCCTGTTCCGACAAAATCAACATGGCTATTAGAATGATACACAATAATCTGGTTTTTAAAGGTGAAATAGCTTATGTACCTGAAGTCGATCTCAGGTTGGATTCAAACGCATTAGATGTATTAGTTCTACTGACTAATGGACTCGAAACCAGTGATCTAATATGTGCTTCTGAAAGATTCTGCAGTCTTCCAAAATCTCGATGGTCATTTGATTCGATTGTCACGGGGACCTCAGCATAAAGGTTGATGTGTATATTAAACATGAAGCATTATAGGTTGATGTGTTATTACCTCCTCTTTTCTTCAATTTTTAATGTATTTAATATAATCAGATATTCTAATTGCCAAACACTATATATATGAGTAAACTCATTAACTCGAACTAACCCGACCCAAAATCCGTTTTCAAAACACGCTGATCCACATTTTCTATTTAAATCAAACCGAGTTTAAATAAATTGATAATTTGACTGGTTTAAGATTTTTTTAATCAATAATACAATTTATAACTACTATAAATATTTGGGTTATACAAATAGAGAAAGAAAAAAAATTACAAACAGAAATCTTGGCAAATCTGTAACTTCTATAACTAACTTTATAATATGAAATATAAATGGAATATATTCTACGCACAACAAGAGGTTTTGGGCCTCTTGATGTCAATCACTCAAGTTTGTACTAGTCAGTTATAGTATAGCATAGGGTTTTATATCAATCCAAAAGGTTTGTTGAAAAGCAGAAGAGTTGCAAGCAGATATCATTAAGTCAAGCAAAGCAAAAAGAGTTTTTGTTGCCTAAGCAACTTATCTAACAACCTAGACTGATCAATAACCAAAGAGAATTCAAAAGAAGCAATATAGCAATGATTAAAGAAGCGGAACAGAGCAAATAAACAGAGTACTTAAGCAAATTCGAAATTCAATTAAAGAGAAAGCAAATTCCTAGATATGATTATTGACTTTGGGGAATTCATAGACTAACTAAGGTTGTTTCAAACAGCATTGATCAAGCAAACAAGCTAACAATGGTGGTTCCTAGACATAGAGTTCACAAACAAGTAAGCTAAGTCCAATCTCTTGTAAAATAGCCCCTTGCTAAACACTTTAACAAGAACTAACTCTCATTAGTGCTAAAACATTTAACAAGCAACTAGATTTTGGACCCGCGCATTAGCGCGTGTTTCTTTTTATAAAATGTTTTTAGACCACACATAAAATCGGTTTATATAAAACTTTTCTTTAAAAAAATCAGCTTATATTATTAAATCTAAAATTGTGGCCCAAACAGAATTTTTTTATTAGATTATATAAATTATTTTTACATTATAGTTTTATGTTTTTAAAATTATTTAGGATTGATTTTATAAAAAAGTTATTTTGATTAGCAGATTTTCTGTTAAATTTTGTAATAAATATTTTAAAATTTTATGTTTTATAATACAATAAAGATTTATTTATTTGTAATTAAGATTTTAATATTTACTTAGGCTTTGTTTGTTTTTGTATCTAGATACTTATTTAGATGTTAATGCTCAAATATTATAATTTTAAATATCTGGATACAAAATATATAATATCTCAAAATTTAAATATTTAAAATACTAAAAAATAGAGTTTAGATGCAGCATTTGAATCTCAAAAATTAAAAGACTAAAACACTTTTTAATTTAAACCACAAATTAAGTATTTTCTTTGTCAAAACCATAAAATAAAAGTATCGTATTTTCCCGCAAAATACTAAAATCACGTTGTTGTACAAAAATCAGGAATTCCCGTAGAAACTGTAAAAATATAATTTTCCATCAAACATCATTTTCCTGTCAAAACTTTAAACCCAATTTTTTTTAACAAAACCAATAATTACTAAAATCATGTTTTTGTACTAAAATCGAGAATTCCCGTAGAAAATATAAAAATAGCATTTTTCATCAAACTGTATTTTTCTTCCAAACTGTAAACCCACATTTTTTAACAAAACCAAAAATTATGTTTTCTCCAACACCATAAAACCGTATTATGTGGCCAAATTTCTAAAATTACATGTTTTGTCAAACCTGTAAAATTGCGTTTCTCATCAAACCTGCAAATCTGCATTTTCAAT